AGCTCGTACACGAAGGTAAAAGGAAGTCTGAGAAAGCGACTGGCATTGAAAGCGATACCTTCACTATCGAAACTGCTCCGTTATCGACCGGTGGCGAGTACACCTTGGCCCTGAAGAGCATCCGAGATAAGACAGGATGCCGCATATTCCTCAAGGAAGAGGCCAAGATCTCTGTGCGACGCCAGCGACCGCGGGCAGCATTTGGTGTTATTGATGGTAAGAGGACAACCACGGTTGTAGAAGCCGCTGTGGCCCGTCTTCCCTTGAAGTTGTCCGGTGATGGGCCATGGATAGTGAGCTATCGCAACCTTAACAGTACTTCTGAGGAACCAGGGGTTCGCATTGCGAAGACTGGCAACGACTTCATTGAAGCGAAGGAGCGGGGCATCTACGAGATTATTGATGTGAGGGATCACGGGTGTAGTGGCATCATCAATCCCCAAGCCAGTACTTTTGAAGTTAAGTGGTATCCGCGTCCCGAGCTGTCGTTTTCACCCAGCGAATCGATTCAGCCCGCAGATAAGGAAAACAAGTTCATCAAAAGAGATGTCTGCGAAGGTGACGTGGACGGAATTGAAGTTTCGCTTAAAGGTAGGCTACTTTTATGTTTCTGTGACCCTTGAATTATGCTAACAACGACCTTAGGCTCGCCTCCGTATCACGTGGAGTATGAAATCAAACATAAGCCGAGGGCAGGCTCGGGCTCGGTGGCCCGAAAAGAGTTCGATGCTGCTCTCGGGAAAGCATCCATTGCCCTAGAAACATCCAAGGCCGGATTGTACACTTACACGTTTTCTGGCTTGTCGGACAATCTCTACAATGACAAGCAAAAATCTGAGCCTCTCACACTGGAGCAGACGGTCAACCCGAAGCCGTTCGCTTCCTTTGTCAAACCCGGTCAAACATTCAAGATGTGCATGTCTGATTACAGCCCGCAAGAATCGATTCCTATCAGGCTAGAGGGCAAAGCACCGTTCTACGTCGAAGTCGAAATTAAACAGCATTCTGGAAATTTACCGGAGATATTCAGGATTCCTAACATCCAGACCAACAATTACGCCATCCAAATCCCTAGGCAGTACCTAAGGCTTGGTGGTCAGCAGATCAGAATCCGCAAGGTACGCGACGCCCGTGGTTGCCAACAGAAGACTGAAGGCGGTGGTGGAGTGGTTCATATTCAGCTTTATGAAGCGCCGTCTATCTACCCTCTCGAGCAGCGAACCGATTATTGCGTCGGTGAGCGCATCGCCTACACGCTTTCTGGCACGCCTCCTTTTGAAGTACACTATGAATTTGCCGGCAAACAGATGAAGGCCAAATCCCAAACCACCAGTTTCCGTCGTATTGCCGAATCGCCTGGTGACTTCACGATCAATAGTATTAGCGATAAGGGAAGCGAGTGCCGGGCAGCTGTTAATCTAACTAAGACTATTCACCCCATGCCGAGCGTCAGGATTAGCAAGGGGCGTGTCATCCAAGTCGATATCCACGAAGGAAGCGAGGTTGAGATCTTGTTTGAATTCTGGGGTACGCCACCTTTCGAGTTCACATATACTCGTAGTACCAACGCTCGGAAGGGACAGAAGAGCCAGATATTAGAGACGCGACATGATATCAGCTATGAGCATAGCAAGGTGATCACGGCAAACTTGGAGGGCACGTACGAGGTGGTAGCTATCAAGGATCAGCACTGCGCCTTTTCGACACTGGGCGTCGAGGGTAGGGACAAGGGCCAAAGTCGCTGAAATACTGAAAAGCTACCCAGCTTATCGAATTGGCGGGGGAGGGTTGGACATTGGACACGGACATGGACATGCGGAACGAACAGGCCGCATATGAAGAGCATGTGGAAATAATGTAGAGCGACGGGGAGGAACAGCTACGTGCGGCTGTTGGGGCATTGCATGAGCATGGCGTTCCGGTAGGATGACAGCTTTTCCTGAGAGGATTGCCATGGCAGTCCAATATAAAATGTGATTCTATTGTAAACCCATGAGCAGGACATGAGATCGTCGTTATGTGTGTATGACTGTGGGACTGGGTAGCCTACTTTTAGGTTAGGACGGGCATGATGTGATGCTAGAGGGTGAACTGGAGATATTCCGAGATGGATATATCCAAGAACGATTGTTTGTGCCTAGTCGTGTAGTTCGAGGTATTGGAATTCAAGTGGGTGACAAGTTATGAGCAAGCGACCTATGTACCTAGCATACCTCATTAGGTGGGCAGGTTAAGTATATAGGTTCTAACAACTCCTTATTCAACCACATACGACCATAGGATCTGGAAAACTCGGGATCCCGTCCGCTCTCCCCGTTGATAAACCCGATACCGCCGGATCAGTAGTTGGGTCGGTGACGACCAGCGAATCCCCGGTGTTGTATGTTTTTTTTTTGTTAAGATTCTTTTTTTTTTACATTTTCTTTCTGCTCGTTCGTCTCTTTTTTTATTTATTTTTAAATTTATAGTTAGGCTGTGTGTCGGGTGCCCCGATGTCGAACTACTTCGTTAGCCTAGGTAGCTCCGTATAGCTGACGGATAAGTTCCGTGGTTGTTCGGGAGTTGAGATCGGTAGACGAGATGGGAGTGATTATGGGGGTTGGACACTATATGCCGTTGGCGAAGAGGAGATTCCGAGATGGAGGTATTCTTTTTGATGTAAGATTTGGTGATCTATGAAGCTTGTTTATGGTCTCTGGCTGGAGGTGGTCTAAGATACAGGCATGGAGTAGTATAGTACCCTATAGGAAGTTGGTAGGGGAACATAGTCAAGCATCAAGTCTCTTAGTACACCAGTACCTAGGTATATATTCATCTTTAAAGTTTATTCTAACCGATCGAATCATCTGGTACACGTAAGTGAGGTCAAAGCACTGGTGGCGTGCCTCCTGTCCCTACTATAACGACGTAATCGGTCTTTCACATGAAAGGAACACGGGTGAGATTAGCTCGATGCCAAGGCTTCATCGCGAGGCGCCCCAAGTCCTCGGGTCTCATAGCCAAGGCTGCTATCGGTATACTATAGTCTATCCGACAGAAAGACGCTGTCAGCCGCAGAGTCGGTGTATCGTCGCATTCCATACGATCCGTTATAATCTACGCTCGCACCAGGCCGTACCGCTCCAATAGGGTGTCTCCCGAGAATCACCGATCGAAATGTCCCTGGATGCTAATCCTTCGGCTATACGATGTTAAGCAAGATGGCCAGCTTAGGTCGTCCTATTATAGTACCTTAGTAGCTAGGGTCGTTATTTGGGACATTTAAGATCTGAACGATCTACGTAACGGCGCCCGTTGTGGATTTGTTTCTTTTCTCTTACTGACTGTTATCATGGCTGAACTGCTGTAGATAGATACCTATATATAAGAAAGGAGGTGTTCCTACACGACTAAACTAATAAGCTATTGCTAAAATAGCGAACTATCAGCACTTCCGAAAACCAAGGGTTAGCTTCTCACCGAAAACGAGGCGGGATCAGCGAACTCTCCACGCAGCTAGTTTTCGTTGGCCAGCTCTACATTCGCGAGGCTGCCTCGTTCTATGGTTAAGGCTGGCTCGAGTCTTCCGGGGAGAATTTTCTCCCTCTCTCAAGTCGTTATCAGCTTGGATTTTTAAAGCTAGCGGCTCAACATCCGGCGGCTTTATGGAAGTTCAACTTGTCAACTGACTCGATAGTCGATACATGTCGGGAGTCACATTCAGACAGCTATCAGAACTCGTTTAGTCAAGATAGTATGACAGATGTCTTTTATTTGACGTTCTGCCTGAGCGCGGTATTCTTATCGTCGAATTTACGAGCCATTGTTTTCACCGGGTTGGAAGATGGGAAGATAAATCATAAAAAGTGATATGTTATTTTTGTAGAGAACAGAACAGTATGCAGTATTTCGAGAAGGCGGAATTTTCCAGACCCCTCGATAGTGACGCCTTAATGAAGTGTCTTTATAGTGGACTTTGGCGAGACTAATGGCTTTACTACATATACCTCTCGAGGCTAGTCGTCCTAGTTGTCTCCCTTGCTTTGAATGTCATTACAAGCTTCTACCAGCTACCGACGCGTTTTCATTCTCCACTTCGCTCATCCTTGGCCCTGGGGTTATTTATTAATCGCAACGGGTTTCTGATATTCATTTATGCTTGACTATCTCGTCGACTTCTCTTTCTTTTTTAACTCACCCATCCATTTATTGGAATAACGCCGCGGTGAAGAAGTAAAGACGATCGTACGACGAGGGGCGCGGAAACAATCCGAGTTACCAATTGGAGCTTTTTCAGGGGTTTCTCAACCAATCACGTTCTCGACTAGCCAGGGCTACCCCGGATCAACGAATCTCGTCTATCCTCGGCCAAGAGAGTTTTACCTATCTGAGCTACGCTCGGCACGTACACACCTGAAACAGAGACGCCGGCATTGACCAGAACCCGGCTTCGCTGATACACAGCCTGCATATACCTAAGGCGTCCAAATATCCTTATATCACAGGCCTCCTTTGGTACGAAACACGCTACCACGTCAATGTGCTCGTAAAAGCAGATATCTATTCCGTATTATCCTTGGAGTTGGAGTTGGTTACTGTGGTTAATTTAAGCTGCAAGTCATAAGAATAACCTGGTATTTGTCGATCTTGAACTTCAGTTCTCCAATTCCCCGCTCACTGTCAACCTGGAACTTCTCATGGATCTTAATGCATACACCCTCTTTTTAAGTATTACTTTCTTAAATGAGAGCCTGCTAGCAAGATACTATATTATTTGATCTTAGAGCCTGATATCATACTTCGGTTAACCTAAGTTCAATAGCTTCCTGGGACTTGCTACTCTCTCGTGTCCTAGTGTTTCGACGATAAACTTTGAAATAATAGGGACTACCAAAGATCGGCTGTCTTAGGTTAGGTACCCAACTAACATTCGCGGTGGTCTGTTTAGCTTATATAACTTGACCAATCTGCAATTGCTTCGAAGGTGCGACAACAAAACGTTGCTATCTAATTTCGTGAAGATGGTTTATTGCGGGAAACCCTCAAAGGGTTGTCAGATGTGTAGGACGAGGAGAATAAAGGTAGGTTGCCATACAGGTAGCATACCTATCCTCTTATACTCCCTCGCAGACTAATTGGTACTCTTTTCCAAGCAATAGTGCGACGAGACAAAACCAACGTGTAATCAATGCACCAAATCACGCAGACAATGTCCTGGATATAAGGACGAGTTTGACCTAATCTTCCGTAACGAGACACAGGCTACGGAGCGTCGAGCGCGGAAGGCTAGTAACAAGGGACTGGCGATAAAGACGGGGACAGGGAAACCAGACTCTACGTCGGGGGGCATGAAGGTGTCCTTGATATTCACCAACACCACCAAACCATCCATAAAGCAAGCAGTCGTTCGTCCGCTCAACATCTCCATAGAACAACAGGCTAGTTGTAGCTTCGTCTCTAATTTCGTCGTGATACCTGGCGAAGGAAACGGGCGAGCTTTCATGGACTTTATCATCCCGCTGCTGAAGGAACATCCGCAGGGCCACTTACAAAATGCCTTCAACGCGTGCTCAATCGCTTTTCTAAATAATCGAGGAGGCGTGTGTAACAGGTTTTCGGACAGAGCGCTGCATGAGTATACGAAGGCGCTTAATGGGACAAATGCTGCTTTGAGAAATCCCGAGACGCAGCTGGCGGATACAACATTGGCTGCTGTTTTATTGCTGGGCTTATTCGAGGTACGTCTATCTTGCATTAGAGTGTCATATATTATACAGTATGACGATGTTCTAATATGGTATATATATATAGAGTATTACGGCCAAACAAATCGGCATGTTAAACTGGGGTTCACATACCGAAGGGGCCATACAGCTCGTCAAAGCTCGAGGTAAAAAGCAGTTAAAGACCAAAATTGGCTTAGGTCTCTTCACCGCCGTTCGAACCCAAATGGTATGTTTATTTTCCATTCGGCATATAATCAACTTACCTGTGACTACTAACGAGACAACCAGATTATCCACAGCCTCACGGCAGGAACAGCTCCTATAATGGGTGCCGAATGGTGGATCGACGACGCGATCAGGGATAAGACAGCAGCATCATGTCACCGGCTCATGATCAAACTAGGAGAGTGCCGAGCCGAAGTCACCCGGTTGATGAACAGCATGGCGCGAACCCCCGACAACATCGAAATCATGATGGACATGCTCCGGCGAATACAGACAGTCGACCAAGAAGTCGTAGCCTGGATGCGCAACGTGCCCGAAGATTGGCGATTCCGCACCGTAACGTGGGAGGACCACGTGCCCAACGGCGACTACTCGAAAGCAGAAGTGTTTCCCGGCCGCGTCGACGTCTACCACGACTTGTACATCATCAGCGTGTGGAATACCTCGCGCACAGCACGTCTAGTCCTAGCCTCCCTCGTCGTGCGCTGCGCAGCCTGGATCTGCAGCCCAGTCGACTACCGCACGACGCCCGAGTACGCGACCGCAGCACGCACCTGCGTGGAGACCATCACCGATATCATCGCTTCTGTGCCGTACCAGCTCGGCTGGCGTCTGAACAAAAACAGCAGATGCTATACCCACCATCACCAAAATCAACAACAACAACAACAGCAACAACAACAACAGAGCGGATTCCCCTGCGGCGAGGAAAACCACCCCAAGGCCCTCGCGGGCTACCTCCTCACGTGGCCGCTCATATGCCTGCACAGCCAGGACTACACGACGGACGCGCAGCGCGCGTGGATCCACGGGCGGCTGAGGTTCATCGGGGACGAGCTGGGGGTCAAGTACGCGCACGTGCTGCGGCAGCTGCGGATTCGCATGCCGAGTATGCTGATACGGCGGGACGCGCTCATGGCGAAGCAGGCTAGCGCGCAGCAGGATTACGTTAGGATGGCGAGGAGGTCGCCGGGGCAGATGAGTATGGGTATGGGTATGAGTATGGATATGGATATGAGTACGACTCTACGCATGCAGGCTTGTTCGTTTGCGCCGCCGTTGCCGCCGTTGCCGCCGGGGTTGTCGGCGGGTGTGTTTGTGGGACAGGCGGCGCTGCTGGAGAGTTGTGGTGGTGGTAATGGTGGTGTTGATGATGATGATTATGACGATGATGATGATGATAATGGGAGCAGCAGTCTTAATAATGGCAATGATGGCCCGTTACAGCATGTCGAGGCGCTGCGGAAGAAATACTTCGAGCAGCATCGTGCGGAGCTGCTGGCGCATGCGGCTGGAGGGCAGGACGCGGGGGAGAGTCAGAAGTGGGTTGCGCAGAGGTGGTTGGTTGTGTGATGGGTTGAGGTTGAGGTTGATGGTGATGGTGATGTTGATGATGATATTGGTGTTTGGTGTTGGTGATGATATTGGTGTTGATATTGGTGTCGGTATTAGTGTTTGGGTTGGAGTTGATGGAGGCGACTTGACTTTTATGATTACAACTTACAGATACCTAAGCTACCTGAGCTACCTACTATAACTATCCAACTGCAAGACAGCACGGCCTAAGGATCACCTATCTACTTAGAGGAGACAGATACGATAGAAGCGCGGATAGATATCAGAAGCCGGATGAGACGGCACTGGCGCTTCGAAGCGTACCGCAACGCTATGATATCTACCCTGCTTCTAACCGAACCCATCTGGTCGATACCGGGGTCTTTGATCAGCGCTGCGCTCACAAGGGTGAGGGTGGATTAGGAGGCCTCGATTGCGGCAACCAGCGAGATATCCATTTACTTGTACCTTTTTATACGCGGAAAACAGTTCGCGAGGACTTACTGGAGCTACGACCGCGAGGCTATTTTACCTATCGGATACGATAATACGTCGTATTTCTTTAATGGTATAGGGACAAGTAGGGGATGGGGAATTTGAATTACTTCAACTCGCACAAGCACGGCTTTCTGCATGGGTTCCTAGAAACGTGTCGCGGGTGTAGATTCACTTTAGTTTGCTTCTCCTTCGGTAGGACTCGAGGTAGTATGGGCAACGCAGTCTCTTGTAAGTTGTAAAGGTATAATCGATAAACTTGCAAATGTCTTTTTTGAATAGTTGATAAAAGCTGGAATAAAAAATTCAAACGCCAAACTCTCTCGTCTTTGCGATTCCTATATAGAGCCATCTACTAATCGGCTAGGGTATCATTATCTATCGTACAGGTCTCCCTTCGCTCCCATCCTTGCGTAGTGGTAGGTGGTAGATTTGAATCAACTATGCGTATCTAGCTGAATCATTTTCTCCGAGCTCGCGATTTCATCCGTGTAAGTGGTAGGTACACGTAGAACAAATATAATAAGAAAAGAGCCGTCAAATCGTATAAGCCCACCGGACGCCTCTGGGGTATCGCGAAGTCGTCTACATCGTATGCACTCGGCGAGCAGAACCTGCCTCATGAAGTGCGCAGTATTTCGATTCCGAACTATTACCTCCTCTTGACGGGAGGCGTAGGGTTCCCCAGATTCCAGGCCTTAACGACCCAGCTCTGAGTCGCATCGACGTATTTCTCCTGCTCGACGTGCTTGACGCCGACCTTCAGGCCGTCTTTGGTGAAGACGAGGTTCTTCCGAGCCATGCGCTTCTCGGTACTGTCGCGGATCTTGGTCGCCCCGAGGTATACTTGGTAGCCGACGAAGGCGACGCCGCCAAGAACGACGAGAAGGATTAGGAGAGGTAGTAACTGTCTGCGCGGCGGGAGGAAGCGATTGCGCTTACGTTAGCGAATGGAACGGGGATCGTTGTGTATATAACGGCAATGGTAGACAAGGCATAAGGCTTAGTACCTGAAAGTCGAGGACTTGGCCTCGACTGGGATGCGAGACTTGTTCTTCCAAACCATGATTTCTGCTGTTGGGGGTCGAATTGGTGATGTTCCTGGATGGTTATACGGAATATGCTGATTCGCAATCTTGGAGAGAGAAAATGGGAAAAAGACTACAATGAAAATAAAGTAGCGCCTAATTTACCGGTAACTAGCGGGAACAATCTGTGTTAGTACGAGGAGTAGGTATTAAGGTTACTTAGGAAGAAGATAGCGTGGTAGTTATATGTAGTGATCGGGGAGATTTGCAGAGGATCACTAGGGGGACTTATAAGTCAAGTATCACGGCCCTCCGGATCTAAAAAGGGATCTAGATAGATGCATGTGGGAAAGGGAAGGTCTAAACACGGGAGTTGCATGTTATATGTACCTATCTTAGGTACCTAAGGTAGGTATGGAGGTCTCAGCTGAAAGCAATCATTGTTCTTCAGGGACCGTCTCATATATACGGTAACAACGTGCTGCTATCGTAACGCAATCGCTAAATGAGATAGGTACTAAAATTAGGCGGATGCACTCTAGATACGCATACGGTAGCACATGGGGAGAGTCTAGCCTGCCTAATCGAGGTTGATTTCGCAGGGAAACAACAGGATCGAGCTGGAAGTTCGGCACGTTTTGGTTTGGATTGGGTTTGGTGCTTAGGTAGGTACGGAATACATGTATATTATGTATGTACAGTGGGATTTCGGAGATGTGGAGGGGTCAATTCTCCCCTCCGAAGGTACGTAGGTACATAACAACTGCCACCTATGGAAACTGGGAAATAAGCTTTAGGTCTTTACATAAGCATAAATCCATGGAAGGAAGCTTGGACCAAGATCGAATAAAGCTACCGTAGAATCGTAGAACTGTAGAACTGTAGAACTGTAGAACCCCGTTGTTAGCATTAACCCGCAGCCTGCCAGCCCGCCGCCAGGTTCACCCACCATTTTGTGCAGTCTGTCGAATCACAGCGTCATTTGGCTTGTGAAATTGACAAGTTGCTGAATTCGGGTAACATCTATCCCATCGCCGGTATAGTCCAAAATGATGATCTTGTAAACCACCTACAATATTTACGCCTCTTGTTTTTTCACCTTTCCCTTTTTTTCATCCTACTTCGTTCCATCTATACACGTCCGCTAGCAGTCTCCATCCCTTTTCGTTTCTGCTTTTTTAAAAACGTGGCCTCCGAGAACCACCCTATCGATTCGTGTCCACAAGTTCGAGCCCTTAGGTACCTAGTCTCACCACCAACACATCTACCTTCGACACGACGAGATATTCCTCCTACGTAATTTATATCTGGTGCGCGCTGGGTCATTAGAACGTCCGCAGAAATAAAATAAAAATATTTGAACTCGAGTAGGAGGAAGAAGAGATTAGGACAGGCCGAGAAACGAGAATATCACTGATCAGTGACCCATTGCGCCAACATGGCTGCCCCCAATGACGGCTACGGCCAATACCCACCACAGGAGTATGGCCAGGAGGCGCCATATTCCGACCAGCCGCCTGCCGGCTACGAAGGACAGACATCCCCCCCTCCTCAGGCCACATCGCACCATGATGGGAAAAAGAAGAAGAGGGGCTATGCCACCCAGGCATTCGAGTTTGGAAGCGGCGCGAACGCTGGCGCTACTGGCCCAACACCCGGCGGTATATCACCTGGATACGGAGGTCCTGCTCCGGGTCCTCAACCCTCTCCGGGCTACGGGGCTGGCAGTGCCTATCCTGCCCCGGATTTTCAACAGGGCGGCTATGGCTCTCCCGCACCCGGCCAAGCACCATACGGCGCTCCGCAGCAGACGGGTGCTCCCCAGGCGGGGTTAGGTGGCTACCAAGCTCCCGACCCATACTACCAGCCGGGAGTTGGACAGCCACCTCCAGGAGTCGCCGGCATAACCCAAGGAATGGCTGGTATGAACATGGGGCCCGGTCCTCAGCCTGCCGTTCAACAACCTGCTCAGCAAGCTCGGGTCGCCTTAAACCAGCTCTATCCAACCGACTTGCTAAGCCAACCATTCAACGTATCAGAGTTAGATTTACCCCCTCCCCCTTGCATCTTACCGCCAAATGTGAGTTCCGTGGAAATATTCTTTGCGTATCTATAATCCATATCCAGGGCTGACTCTCGTAATAGGCTAGTGTCACCCAATCTCCCGATGCGAACTGCCCTCCCAAATATATCCGGTCGACCATAAATGCAGTCCCTACTACGCATTCCCTGCTTAAGAAGTCTAAATTGCCATTTGCCCTCGTCATTCAGCCATATGCCGCCCTTCACGACATCGACGATCCTGTGCCCGTTGTTCAGGATCAGGTGATAGCTAGGTGTCGAAGATGTAGGACTTATATCAACCCTTACGTGATCTTCCTGGACCAGGGTCACAGATGGCGGTGTAATATGTGTAATCTTACCAACGACGTGCCGCAAGCCTTCGACTGGGATGCTGCCGCTCAGAAGAGCGTCAACCGATGGGATAGATACGAACTAAACCACTCCGTTGTCGAATTTGTTGCGCCTCAGGAATATATGGTGCGCCCTCCGCAACCGTTGGTGTATCTGTTCCTTTTCGACGTTAGCTACGCTGCTGTCTCTACCGGTCTTCTTGCTACAAGCGCGCGTACTATTTTAGACAGCCTCAACAGAATACCCAATGCCGACCGACGAACCCGATTAGGATTCATCGCGGTCGACTCGAGCTTGCACTATTTCTCTGTACCCAAGGATGACGACGAAAATGCGGAGACATCTATGCTAGTTATCAGCGATCTGGATGAGCCGTTCCTACCAGTTCCTCAGGATCTCCTGGTCCCCCTGATAGAAAGCCGAAGCAGCATTGAGAACTTTTTGGCCAAGCTTCCCGACATGTTCCAGAATAACCAGAGTAACAACTCGTGCATGGGATCTGCCCTGAGGGCTGGCCACAAGCTCATCTCACCATTGGGTGGCAAGATCGTGGTGCTCAGTGCTTCGTTGCCGAATTTAGGAGTAGGAAAGCTAGAGATGCGGGAAGACAAAAAACTGCTGGGTACGTCCAAAGAAAGCGGGCTCCTCCAGACTGCAAACAGTTTCTATAAGTCGTTTGCTGTCGAGTGCTCCAAGAACCAAGTTTCCATCGATATGTTCCTTTTCTCCTCGCAATACCAAGACGTGGCCTCGCTTAGCAACCTTCCCCGATATACCGGTGGCCAAACCTGGTTTTATCCCGGATGGAACGCGGGCCGCGCCGAGGACGCAGTCAAGTTTGCGTCGGAGTTTAGCGACTTTTTATCTTCGGAAATTGGGTTGGAAGCAGTGCTTAGAGTACGAGCCACGACGGGCTTGCGCATGAGCACATTTTACGGGAATTTCTTCAATAGGTCTTCGGATCTCTGCGCCTTCCCGGCTTTCCCCCGCGATCAATGCTACGTAGTCGAGGTGGCTATCGACGAGACTCTGCAGAAGAACTACGTTTGTTTACAAGCCGGTGTCTTGTACACTACATGCAATGGTGAACGGCGTATCCGTGTCATGACGCTCGCAATCCCCACAACAACCAACCTCGCCGATGTGTATGCCTCGGCAGATCAGTGTGCGATTACGACATACTTCACTCACAAGGCTGTCGAGAGAGCTCTCAGTAACGGTTTAGACGCCGCCCGCGATGCTCTCCAGAGCAAGCTTATCGAGCTTCTCCAGACCTTTAAGAAGGAATTAGGGGGTGGAAGCATGGGCGGTGGCGGGTTACAGTTCCCTGCCAATCTGCGCGGTCTCCCAGTGCTCTTCTTAGGCTTGATCAAACACGTCGGTCTCCGCAAGTCAGCGCAAATCCCGTCAGATCTCAGGTCAGCGGCTCTGTGCCTACTATCTACGTTACCTCTGCCGCTTCTAATGCAGTACATTTACCCTCGGTTATATTCGCTACATGATATGCCCGATAACGCTGGAGTTCCCGATCCAGAAACGAGCCAGATTGTTCTCCCACCGCCATTAAACTTGTCGTCAGAGCGATTCGTTACCTATGGGCTATACTTGATCGACGACGGCCAAACGCAATTCCTATGGGTGGGTAGGGATGCAGTACCCCAGCTCTTGACGGACGTATTTGGTGTAGCAGATCGCACTCAGCTACGTGTCGGCAAAGGCTCGATTCCCGAGCTTGATAACGACTTCAACGAACGTGTCCGAGCCGTAATTCAAAAGAGCAGGGACCACCTATCACGCGGAGTTGGTAGCATCATCGTACCTCATCTATACATCGTACGGGAAGATGGCGAACCAAGTCTGAAGCTCTGGGCGCAGACGCTGCTCGTAGAAGACCGGGCAGATCAAGGGATGAGCTTTGGTCAGTGGATGGGAACGCTGAGAGAAAAGGTAAGTTGAGAAACATTCGATGACCTAATTTTCCCTATGGCACTTATGCTTATTTTAATTTTAGGTTGTGCAGTAGTGTCACCACTACCTAAGTGTCACCACTACCTAAAAATGTATTGAGGGTTTGCAAGACGAGTTCCAACGACTTCACCGATAAAGAAAAGACCTTGGAGAAAAGGGAAGCAAATCGAAGTAACGCCAACGAGTCATTGACTTGGAATTGACGACATGTCAACTAGCGCCTCACATCGTGTTAAGTAGACTAGCATTAATAAGCCTTACAGCGGCTTTATTTCAAGTCAGTGGGTCGATTTTTGTTCTCAGGTCCGTTTCATACGACCGAATTAGGTCTAATACGTGACCGAGTGGACAGCGGACCTGTTACGTGCCTTACCATGTAGAAAGCTCCGCTAGCGAATTACAATCCCGTTTGGTGAGAAGGGATCTCGAGCCGGTGTCTTGAGATGCTAGTGATACGGGTGATCGACATTCCGCCAAGTATTGTCCGCGTGTATCATAAATATGTCAGCAATTCCAACATGCGTGCCCATCCATCTGCCCGGTGTTTACCGATTTACCAGTCTCACAAGATCTCGCTAGTCTAGTAAGTAGCGCGGCAATGCCATAGCGCGTAGGATATGAGGTACATGTAATACATACATATAGAAGATATTCTATCGGCCGTAGATGCAGCACCCGGATCGACTAGATCAGACCCGGTTGGCGAATGGAGCCGAAAAATGCGGGAATGGTGTGGACGAGTTACCCTCATTTCTCCGAAGACACGGTACACAAACCAGTGATATATCATTGTTGGACCCGGCAATCTGGGTATTGGGCGCGGCGGCGGATACGTAGGTAGGTAGCTATATAGTAAGCGCCTCGGCTCTTTTGACAGAGCCGAACCTATGTAGGTCTAGGATTGGATTTGGAGCGGTAACTTGACTTGACTTGACTTGGCTTGACTTTTACCTACTCTTTGCTCGCACAGCCCTATCGGTGGTTTCTGGTACGGAAACGGAAAGTGAAAGTGACAGGCAGGCAGGCAGGCAGGCAAGAGACGGGACGAATGTTCAGCATAGCGAGTGGCCGGGAGGCAGCCGGTGCCGAGGGGTGCTTCAGATCCCTGGTCACATCTTTGGGTTGGGGACACTAGGGGACGCAAGTGTGTCGACCAGTCATGAAACGGACAGGGGAGGCTGTCAGGATGGGTTTAAAACACACGCGCCGGGCTGCGGTGTGCGGCGCTTACGGCGGATGCTTATTGGACGACCTAGCGTGTGTGGTTGAAATCTATCGGCGCTCTAGGGTGTGATGATTTTGATTGTTGGTTGGGGGGTTGTTAGGAATACATATGGGACGAATATTGTTGTGGTGTGATGGGATGGGATAGAGTATTTACATATATTTATTAAGGCTGTTTATAGATGAAGATAAATAGGAAGGTATAAAAATAATATTCCATTGGTTCATGCATACATACATGTTTATGTAGTGCATTGATACAGTTGACGTGTGACGATAACAAGTACCTAACAATAGGTACCTAGGAAAGAAGACCCCGCGAGAGAGTGTGTCTCGATGCACAAACATCCCCTTACCCCTCCGACCCCACTAGCCAATCCTCTCCTATCAATTTAAGGTTCTCTCCTAGCTCCCCAAGCCCCTCTCCTCGCACATCGCGCTTCTATGTATGTACATATCACACTTTCGCTCATCCCGTCTTGAGTCAAACTTAAAACATTCCTCGGGACTAGACTGTATAGTTTAGGTACCTACCTAGGTTAGTTTATTAGTATCGTCAACCTGCACTGGACTTGCCCCTTTATACCGAGCAAACCTGATTTTAGATCCCACGTGGAGAATTACCCGGGACTAACGTCTTAGGGGCGCTTGGAGGTACCTGTCTTAGATATAGATAAATGTTGGATTGATCATTGGGGGGGAGGGGGGAAGTTGAAAACGAAGAGATCGAAAAAAAAGGCTTATTATTATTGAACTGTTCTAAACACTTGAGCCCATACAATACTGCACAAACACACCTGTCTCGTCTTTTATTTAATACGTTTCTTCTCTATATCTCCTGGTCTCCTCATCGGGTGACTTCTGCGGCTGCTGTTCCCACACGCTTGCGTAAACGACGATTTCGTTATCCGGTACTAGTTCTAAGAGGCCGTCCCATCCGTTAGAACTCCTAGTGTCCACTGTCTTGTCGCCGTCGCATTATTGAGGTCCCACAGTCCACCACCCAGCGCGGATTCTATTCAATAGATCACCGACCCATACATACATATATAGGGGCCCGAAGGGGTTTATCCACTGTCGTTGTAACGGCTCAGCTCCCTTTTTGGGTTTGGGTCGAGCTCTTTGACATCTCTCTTGCCCCACGCCCACCCGCCTGCCCGCCCGCCCGCTCGCACCCGCTTCACTTTATTTTTTCTGAGCATCCAAATTGTTGGTTCTACCTACTACATACCTCATAGTATTATTGACACGATCGCCTCGTCTTATTATTATTATTATTGTTATTGCCCGACTAGTTAGTTTATTATACGAAACTCAACTCACCTGGGGTGATTAAACAGTTTTGTTTCTATTTATTTTTATTTTTATTTTTATTCTTTCCTACTCGGTACGAATCACGTAATAAATCTGGAATAATCAAAGTACCTTAGGTAAATTGCCTACGAAGAAGGTACCTACCTACATACCTCTCTACTTCCATCTCAGAAGGCGGGGCTCGTCCCAAAGCTCTTGTCGTTTTTTATTCAACTTTAAACCCAACGCCTTCCGCTTGCCGCTTTCCGCTTTCCAATCGCGCGGTAACTAAACCCAAAGGTAAGAGTTATTTTATTTTATATTTTATTTCCTTCCCTTAACCTTTACCCCTCACACGCAATCACAAAATCCGTGGACGGGAACGCCAGCTGCCAATCTTCAATCTTGAATCAACCGTGCACCATCCGGTAACGCCAAGGATCACTACTCGTACCGGCGCACATCTTCGAGACCCTGCTTCCCCCCCTCCCCCTCTCCCGATCATTGGTACAGACGGCGCGCCTCAAGTTTTGTAACACGGGGTTGCAACCACAGGCACCACCTACACTCTTTGACCCCGACCTTGAGACTCGACAAGTCGTAACATAAACCCTCTTCGACCTTTAGTAATTACCGGCTACGCGAACTACTCTATCTCGAGTAGTTCGTCTTCGTGGGACCATCAAATTCGGCCGAACCAAGTAGCAATTGCAGGTGAGAGCGCCACGATTTACGCCGGCCTAAGCTGCACAGACCCACGGATCAAATCGCTTAACTCCCCACGGCGTCCGATCTTCATATCGGGACGATCAATTATCACTTATTTCCTCACCTTGGTCTCAGCCGCAGTTGTTGTCTTTGTTTTTACGTCTAAATCCTCAGCTAACACATCATCTTCCAGCTCAGTCGTATAACCGCAGCATTGACGCACTAAGCTGAGTTCGACGAGCATAAAGAAGCACCGATATTTCGTTCGCCGACTTGAAAGAACGAAGCGAAGCGACGCCACAATAAAACAAACAACCCGACTCTTTGCGACTATCGAACTATCCGGAGAATTAATCTCTACAAATCGCACTTGTCGCCTCCGCATTCTAGGCGAGTTGGACTCTATTTCGGGAAGTGCGAATAGCGTCGTCTCGTCGTCCAATATCCTGTCGAGTTGTACTCCGCTGAGTGGAGCGTGCACGAGTTTAATATTCCTTGGCAAGCCGAGATTACCTACCTATATAGGCGCTCTTATTGCCCTTGCAGGACCCTAATAAATCCGCTCTTGAGGCCCGAGGCGGTGGAATCTTTAAGCTCTTGGGTTCCCTCCCGCGTTCGGTCTTGAATTCGACTTGAAGCACATATTTTCCTTAGCAATACGCCAACATGTCGCGATCAAATCCTCCCAATCCGGCCGGATCCCGGAAGATTTCGTTCAACGTTAGCGAACAGTATGACATTCAAGATGTTGTGGGCGAGGGAGCTTATGGTGTCGTCTGGTAGGCTTGTAGATATCTTCCAAGTCCAAATCAGGTCAGATTGTTAACCAACCGTGCACAGCTCGGCGATACACAAGCCTTCAGGTCAGAAGGTCGCCATTAAGAAGATTACTCCCTTCGATCACTCCATGTTCTGTTTAAGAACTCTTCGAGAGATGAAACTTCTTCGATACTTCAACCACGAGAACATCATCTCTATTCTTGACATCCAGAAGCCGCGCAGCTACGAATCTTTTACCGAGGTGTATCTAATTCAGGTACGAGATGGCCTTGGAACTCGTGTGCAGGGCTAGTTACTGACGGTGCTACAGGAACTGATGGAGACGGATATGCATAGAGTGATCCGTACACAGGATCTATCTGACGATCACTGCCAGTATTTCATCTACCAGACTCTACGAGCGCTGAAGGCTATGCACTCTGCAAATGTGCTTCACCGAGACTTGAAGCCTAGCAACCTCCTGTTGAACGCCAACTGTGACCTGAAAGTCTGCGATTTCGGACTTGCTCGATCGGCGGCGTCTCAAGAGGACAACTCCGGCTTCATGACGGAATACGTTGCTACTCGATGGTATCGTGCGCCCGAGATTATGTTGACCTTTAAGGAATACACAAAGGCTATTGACGTGTGGTCCGTAGGCTGCATTCTTGCCGAGATGCTGAGCGGGAAGCCCTTATTCCCCGGAAAGGACTGTATGTGGCCAATTACGTCGGAATCAAAAGGACCTTTTGCTAACAATGCATAGACCACCATCAGTTAACCCTGATCCTGGACGTCCTTGGTACCCCTACCATGGAGGACTACTACGGGATTAAGTCTCGCCGCGCTCGCGAGTACATCCGCTCTCTTCCGTTCAAGAAGAAGGTCCCATTCCGAACTCTCTTCCCCAAGACTTCCGACTTGGCGCTCGACCTGCTCGAGAAGTTGTTGGCCTTCAACCCGGTGAAGCGCATCACGGTGGAGGAAGCCTTGAAACACCCTTACCTCGAACCGTACCACGACCCCGAGGACGAGCCTACCGCACCCCCGATTCCTGAGGAGTTCTTCGACTTCGACAAGCACAAGGACAACCTTAGCAAAGAACAGTTGAAGCAACTCATCTACCAAGAGATCATGCGGTAGAACAGCAGTTTCTTGAGCAAACTCAGGATTCGGGAGAGCATTTCGCATCTCATGCAGAACCTTAAGATTCGAGATCGCACCCCCTCACTGGCGGACTCGCGCAAAAAGCATCGCGGTTGAGGGATGGTGCTTGGTTTTGCATAGCGGGTGGCGGCGGCCTTGGAGAGCAACTGGACGGTGATAAACCTACCTCATCGAGGATCGGCGTGGAGGAGTAGTTTACCCTAAGATATAACTCGCGAAGGGAAGGTGGAGATCTTATGCCACGAGATCTGGTGTGGGATCTGGCATGACTGTGGAGAGGCCAGATGGATAAGGATATATCTTGTCTTCTCTCCCATTTCTTTTCTTTACTCTTGCTAGTAGTAAAACAAACATTTTTTCTGGTACTCTCTTGCCTATGGCTTATTTGCTCATCCGATTCTGTGCTGTGCTGTTTGTTCGCTCGCCAAGTAAATACCGTTGAGGCTCTGTCGTGATTAATGTAAGGTTGTTCGAGAATATAGATCATTCAACACCGAATGTGAATGAGAAGATGAAATAGGCGAAATATCTAAAGACTTCTCTTCTCATCAATTAGTATAAGAACCCTTGAGTGAAACCAAGGATGCCACAAGAGACTTTTCATCAAGTTACGCCTTACGTGATTAGCACCCGGTGTTTTATATCTAGGTAGCATAAGCTCTGCGATGTTCTTAAGCCTGATATTGAAACGGAATATTCATTCTAGATAATTAGGTAGTTTATATGTCCAAGCTTACATCCTTAAGATCAGAGCTTCGTGGGGTTGAGTTGCTAGTTATACGATATACGATATACGATATACGCTATACGATTAGTGTAGTAAAGCAGGAGGAGTGAGTGAGTGAATAGGTTGTATCAAGTCAAGGGTGCTTATATTACCTTAATAAATTTAGCTGTTGTATTCTCTGTTCCTCTGGGCCCTTTGCTATTTGGCGACATGGTTATTATACAAGAGGGTTTAGATCTTATTTAAGAGGTAACTACTTGGGTATATATTTCAGAGACATATCTTAGAAGATTAAAATAGGGTAAACGAGTCTTTACTTACTCTAGTATTCAGTTATTGTCAACAGGTGGTTAAGGAATATAGAACATAGTTCGGTCGGTTAACCTCAGGGCTATATTTTTATTCATAGTAAGGACTTCTTTCTCCCAGCCTGTATGAACCTCGATTATATACCGTAATTAGTAAATCGATTAGTGGAAAATAGTAAATAGTAGTTGTCTACCATCCCATCCCATCCCTACTACCCCTTAGATTGTTTACTTCCCTGCCTTCAAGGGCACCGCCAGTCTACATATCCTATATCATCACGTCTATGTAGATAGATACCATCGGATCTAACAAATTAGTACATACGATATCATGCTAGAAAGCTGCCTACATAGTAAGCATTCTCGTTCATTCATCTGATCCTACCTGATCTTATCAAGAAGAACATCAAAAGCTAGAGCGACCAATCTCTTTTAACTACTACTTATCCCAAGCCAAAGTCAAAGTCAGTGAGCGGAATTAATATAATATATTTAGCAATTCCATCCGTCGACAGAGACAAAACAAAAAACAACAACAAAAATAGCAAGACTTGCTTGCTTGTCTGTCCCTATGGAACCGGAACGCCTATTTGCCCCAGTCATGATCTCGGTGTTTTATCTGCTAGGTATTTCCAGCCCCCTTTTCCATCCTTGCCTGGCCGGGTTTGGCTCGTTCACCGGTATACCGCACCGTACTACACCACGACGTGCTTCCCATTGCCATGCTGCTCGTACAGACGCTCGCCGTAATTACCACGATACTTCACACCCCATCCCGATTCGTTCCCATTAGTCGAGTCAAGCCAAAAATGACTTGATGAAATGTCACACAACCCTCATACCAACAACCAACGCCCCTACTACTACTTCGTTAAACATCGCATTAACCACCCACAACCCACATCTCCACACCAAACACATCGAACTTCTCGCCCTCTTCGCTAAGCGGCTGATTCAAAAACGTATCGCACGTCGCGCTATGGCCCCGCGTCAACCCATTATCCAGCCACAGGCCATACTTGCCGCCCCGGCCGCCTCCCACGGACAGGAAGCCCGTCTCGCAGAAGATGCAGTAGTCGTTGGCGCCCGTGTACGCGAAGTTCTGGAACCGGATGCTTTGCACCGAGGTTGCGGCCTTGCCGGTTTCTAGGTCGGTCGGCGCGGGCTCTAGCTGGCTGGCGGGCTGGCTGTCGGCGCGCGGGAAGTTGGTGTTGGTGTTGGTGTTGGTGTTGGTGGTCGGGGAGGCTATTGTCGTTGCGCGGAAGTTCAGGTTGGATGTGTCGGCGGAGGGGGGCGGGGGGAGAGGCGCGTGGAGGCTTGCGCGCCAGAGGAAGCATTCTCCCGTGCCGAAGTAGGATGGCGCTGGGTGTGGTGCTTCTGTTAGGTATGCGCCGAAGGTCTGTTATGTGTATAGATTAGTTACTCGATCTCCTGTACTTATTCCCAAGACACATCCTCGTGACGCGTAGTCGAGATGATGGCAAGCAAATAAACAGTTATACGAGAAATACTCACCCCTTCCTTCCCATCCCGCACAACAAGCACGAACCCGACCCTCCGTCCGCGGTACTCCTCGCACCGCTTATACAGCGTAGCCAACGAACTGCCATCCTGGTACAAACTATACACCAACCGCCAGTCCTCGACAATCTTCAACCGCTCGGGCAAGAACGTCCTGATCTCCTCCGCCAGGCCTTGCGCCAGCAACCGTTCGTCAGTCCGGGTGTCGGCTCGATAGCCGTGCAGCACCAAGGGCTCGAGAGAAGGGAGCCCACGCAGAGGCGACGGTGTGCGGCGCGCCAGCGGGACGAACGGTCCCGTTACACCGTCGCCCGCGCCTACGGGTTCCGAATTGGCGTTGTGTAGCTGCGCGTGGGAGGGCGGCGGTGCGAGGTTTGACGTGGGGGACTCGAGGGAGGAGAAGCGGCGCCAGAGGCCGAGGATGACGCCGTAGCCGCTGCCGGAGGAGGAGGGGCCCTGGGGCGGAGGTGATTGCGGCTTGGACTCCGGGAACGTGTGGGCGTGGGTGTGGGTGTGGGACAGGGAGCGGTGGGATACGGGGGTCGAGGGGCCGGAGGAGGGCGGCGAGAGGTCTATTAAATCGGTATCTTGTCGGTTGATGCTCATGGTCGGCAGTTGGAGTTGGGTCTCGTGGGGATGCGCGTAAGTGATCGTGTGTCGATCTAGTTTCCAGGTAATCTGACCTAACCTTTAGGTGATTTCCGATAGCAGTTAAACAGCTAAACAGCTAAACAGCCAAGCAGCTAAAAAGTTGGAGAAGTGGATTATAGGTAGCTCTCTTCTGGTTTCGTCTTAGGGTAGGTTACTCCGAATTAACCTGCACAGTCTACCTCTCCTCAGGCAAGGGTGCATAAGGGTAGTTCAGCAGTGGAATCATGAATGTGACGTAGCGTGACGATAGCAGTTGGTGGGTGGGTGGGTGGTTTTATTTTATTTGTTTTAGACAGCTGTGTTAATTAGTTGCCTGTAGTGGGGGGGAGTGTTGCAGCGGTACACTACGTCGTATTGGCTGAGATGGAATTGCAGATGTGTTATTAGGGTACGGTAATATTGAGGATTTCAATTATAAGATATGGTAAGGAAGAAAGAATAGTACTTTAGTAAATAGGTAGTAGTTGAAATAGCAGGAAGAAAAAAGTAGGTGAAATTAGGAAAGTTTGAGAGGTAATGATTACATTTATATAAGTTACCTAGGGTAGGTACTTTAGGTAATACAATAGTTACATACAATATATACCTTCAAATATGTACTTGCGAATATTTATCAAACTACCTACCTTATTATTAAACTCGTACCACTTGGGGGTCTTGGAACTCTGTTTGTTTCTTGGGAACTTATTATTCGACAAATTCAACGAATTCCTCGTCTGTGTGTGTCTGTGAACCATCATCTAGGTTACTATAGTTTATACTATTACTTTATACTCTTATCGTGGTCAATGCGATCAGTATCGCTATCAGCCCGATTATACCCGTAATCGTCGCACGAAATCTCGATTCGTAAGGATGCACAACATACGAAGGACACCGCCATGTACATCATTCTGTCATATCATCAAGATGATATTTAGACTTCTTTTTTAAGTTGTTTCACATATGATTTTGGTATGCATATACGAAGTAGGCTACACGCAATATACCATACGTATATGTCCAAATCCAAGCCCATAACTCTAGTCCCATCACCTACCTTAGATAATCTATATATCCTTTACCATAATGTCGAGTATGCCTTGTCGTACTCCTTCCGGAGTAGGTTCCTTAGCACACAGTTTAGGCTCATAATGAAACATCTTTTTGAGATAATTCGCCGTCGTTGGCCCGATCGTCGCGATCGAGGTTGGCGGCTTCACCTCGTCCGCCTTCTCAATGGCCTTACCTGTCTCCTGGTCGAGTAAGTCCAACCCCTTCAACATGCTGTCGCAACCCGTCGGTGAGAAAACCACCACCCATCGTTCCGGTCGGCTTGCTGTCCTCTGTAGTACGTCCGCAAAGTCACTAGCAAAAGACTCCATAACACCAGTGCCATATAGCACTATCTCTGTTACTTCTATCCGTTGACCATCCGGCAGAGTCTCGTCCATTAGCGTCTTTGGTATGATGTCCCGTCTCTGCTCTCCTACTAGGAAGAGTAGCGGAGGCTTGGTGGGACAGTCTTTGTACCATTCGCCGTAGTGGTCTAATATGAACCGTGCGAGCGCATCACCATTCCCGGTATGCTCACCAAAGATTTGGAGCGGGGGCGTCTGGGGAATAGCCTTGAGCGCTCGGGTCGTAGCAGGGCCCACGCTATAGACTGGTATGTCTTGGAGGTGCGGCCAAGTCTGATCACCTATTTAATTCCTACGAGTCAGAGACTAGGATGCCGCTGAACACATAAGGGGCCTCGGACCTTTGCCCTCATCAACTAACTTGGCGAATGCCTCGACTGCTCTCTGTGAGGTAAAGATGAGGCCGCCGTAAGCGCTATCGGCGCTACGGTTTATCCTCCTCTCCCGTAGTAACTTTTCGAATTGTTGCATACCGTCATCTTCAAACCTGTGCTGAAGGACAGGGACGAAGATGGGTTCAAAAGAAGGGAAACCATCATTGGGAATAGAAAAGATGTCTTCGTATGCGTCGCTCGGCGATGATTTCGTCTTGAGGAGCAGCACAGGAACTTTGTCCGGGCTCGAGGCCGAATCTGAAGCCATAAAAAGCTAGGCAATCTAGGCAATGATGGTTAGAAAAGCATCGATTGATATCTTTATCATCCGAGCTTATGAAAGTTGGCGCATTCTAGTACATAATTGGAACTTCTGGTGCCAAGGTTCGCCCTAAGACTTCTAAGCTTTTATCGATAAAAGGGTTTCATTGATAACGGGGTGAAAGTAACTACGGAATACTTTCGCACGTTGAAGAATTATTAGGTAATACCATTAAAGTGGGACCCTCTCTTCGGGCCGTGTTTAGTAAGTGGCGTTACCGGCCGGTGCCGGGGCTCGCTTTCCGCCGAGCTACCTAGGTACTGACAAATCCGCTTCAGCTTAATTTATTTTTCCTGCCAACACCTTTCGATGCTGTCGCAAACTGTCATGAGCTTTCCCGCCGGTTCCTTTTTTTCTTCTGCGCTTATTCTAGGCCGGTCGTACTAGTTAGTAGAATGGCTGCCGATACGAGAGAGCCGCAGCCCAACGAGCTGCCCAAGGGATTCGTCATAGGAAAAGATGGCAAGCCGTGAGTAGTTATAATATTATCATTATAGACCAGTAGCTGCGTTATTCGGCTATCCACTAACATGAGCTTATTTTTGCAGTTGTCGATCATGCAATTCAAAGAGGGATTTCTCTATGTGGGCACAGATGACTAAAGCCTCTCTCAAGTCTGGTAGTAATGCTGCGACAGGCGCTGCCGTTGGTGCTGGAGCTGGAGCTGGCGCGGTGGCCGCCTCTACGCTTTCGTCGCCGCATCCTACCCCGGACGATTGTCCAGCCGACGTAGAGACGCTGGGCCGAAGCACGTGGACCTTACTGCATTCCATTGCCGCGACGTATCCTAAGACGCCAAGCGCCGCTCAGCAGTCCGACCTCCGGACATTCATGGGAGTTTTCTCAAGACTGTATCCGTGCTGGGTATGCGCCGAGGATTTCCAGCGGTACATGGAGAAAGACCATGTCCAAGTCGGTAGTCGCGACGAGTTTGGAAACTGGCTGTGCGAAGCGCATAATGCCGTTAATGTTAAGCTAGGCAAGGAGAAATTCGACTGTTCTAAGTGGGAAGAGAGATGGCGGACCGGCTGGAAAGACGGGCGCTGCGACTGAGTTAGGATCGTCGTCCGGAGAAACTTGCCTTACAATTAATAATTCGCGATACCATCCTTTGGCCGAGGCCTAAACCGGCTTTTATTACTACTAAGGTCATAGAAGCCAATTTGCGAGGGAATTTATTCGACTTGTATTATCAATGTACAATACCTATGTCACGATAGAAGGATGACTGATGAAGGCGAGCATCGCGTTCTCGAATTGAAAGATGGACAACTTCACTTTTCAAGGCGCGTATATTTTTCACTCTTCAAAATTGAATCTCGTCGGTATTATGCAGCTGGAGTTGACCGGTTTTCTTATCATTATCAAAAAGATCGACAATTATGATGCGCAGTAAATGCTACTAGGCCGTTCCAGACCAGCGGCCAGGCTAGCCGGGGCTCATCGAAAGCAAACCGGGTTCGGCCGATTGGTTTATTATTAGAGCAATGGATACTTTCTACGGGTATGGTCGTACAATGAGCTGAGGGAGGTAAGTCGATAATGATTGAATTATCGTCGTGTAATCTTAAGGTCTTAAGAAAAAGACAATGCAAGATGAGACTTGGAGTTTGTATGCATTCATAAAGAATTCACATGTATATTCCCTGACCGACAAACGGGCGAAAAAATAAGTTCAATGACAGAAATCAAGCAGAAGAATTCGATATCCATTGCATCATCGCCTGATCATGGCGAGACGCCGAAGATGCACCATGATCCACTGTAACAAGGCCCGATACATATGTCAAGAACAGGCGATGCAAACAACCGCCGTACGATTCCTAGCCCAACCCAACCCCTTTTTTCGACCTTCGTATCCTGCATTGCGACAACGGTAGAGGCTGAGAGATTTTATTATTTAGCTAAAGTCCTTCCCTGAGGCTGACTGAGAATTTTCTCTTTGTTCTACTCATACTGAATCATATCCGACTAACAACAACGTCAACCTCATAGGAGTGAGTGTAGTGTATTCCTAAGCTTCCGAGGCATTGTCAAATCAGCTCTCAGACTACTTACACTAGACCATCTCGATCGACATATACTCCTATCTACCCCTCAACTTACTATATTAGCTACATCATATAATCCTAACAGTTTTACGCCACTTAAACGCAACAACATCATCTTTTCAACTTCTTGAAACAAACAAACAAACAAACAAAGAAAGAAAGTAAACATCTTCACGATGACTAGCGAGGATATCAGAACGAAAAATCTGAGAAAGCCCGTCGACGTGGCTGAGTACCTCTTTACGAGGCTCCACCAGATCGGAATCAGGTCTGTCCACGGACTTCCAGGCGACTTCAACCTTGTTGCCCTTGACTATCTGCCCAAGGCCGGGCTTAAATGGGTCGGCAACTGCAATGAGCTGAATGCCGCCTATGCCGCCGACGGTTATGCTCGTGTGAAGGGCATCAGCGCTATCGTCACCACTTTTGGTGTAGGCGAGCTGTCCGCTATTAACGGTATCGCCGGCGCTTATAGCGAACACGTTCCCATCGTTCATATTGTCGGGTGTCCGTCTACCGTTTCTCAGCGCAGCGGTCTACTACTGCACCACACCCTAGGAAATGGCAATTTCAACGCCTTTGCCGACATGAGCGCTTCCATCTCTTGCGCCGTCGCTAAACTCAATGATCCAGTCGAGATCGCTGGACAGATTGACCATGCCCTACGAGAATGTTACCTGCACTCTCGCCCCGTTTACATCATGTTCCCTACCGATATGGTTGAGAAGAAGGTTGAGGGCGAGCGTCTCGAGACTGAAATCGACTTGAACGAACCTCCTAACGACCCGGATCGGGAAGACTATGTCGTGGATGTCATTCTCAGGTACCTACACGCCGCTGAGCGACCAGTCGTCCTCGTCGACGCTTGTGCCATCCGTCACCGTGTCCTCGACGAGGTCCAAGAGCTTATCGAGAAGACTAATTTACCCGTATTCGTCACGCCCATGGGCAAGAGTGGCATAAACGAGACGCACCCCAGTTACGGCGGTGTCTATGCAGGAACCGCCTCCGCCCCGGCCGTCAAGGAAATGGTCGAGGGCTCCGACCTCGTCATCTCTGTCGGCTCACTCAAGAGCGATTTCAACACCGCCGGATTTTCTTACCGTCTATCTCAGCTGGCGACCATCGATCTGCACAGCGACCACTGCATCGTGCGATACTCCGAGTACCCCGGCGTGCGGATGAAGGGTGTCCTGCGCAAGATCGTCGACCGCCTCGACGTTTCACAAGTCAAGGCCCTACCGGCACCTAAGTTCGAGTCCCCTCCAGTGACGCCCGACGTCGACGCCATTATCAAGCAAGAATTCTTCTGGTCGCGCGTCGACCGGTTCCTTCGGGAAGGCGACATCGTAGTCACAGAAACCGGCACAGCCAACTTCGGCGTGTGGGAAACGCGGTTCCCGGCAGACGTGACAGCGCTCAACCAGACGTTCTGGGGCAGCATCGGCTGGGCAGTCGGCGCATGCCAGGGCGCCGCGCTAGCAACCCAAGATATCGCGGGCCTGGACAAAGCTCGACGAACAATCCTATTCGAAGGCGACGGCAGCCTGCAGCTCACAGTACAAGAAATCAGCACGATGATCCGACACCAGCTGAACGTGATCATATTCGTGATCTGCAACGACGGGTACACGATCGAGCGGTTCATCCACGGGATGGATGCGTCGTACAACGACATCGTCGAGTGGCGGTACAAGGACCTCCCCGCCGTGTTCGGCGGCACCGAGGAGACGGCGCGGTCGTACGCGGTGCGCACGCGCGGCGAGCTCGAGAAGCTGCTTGCCGATAAGGACTTCAACGAGAGGAAGGGGCTGCGGCTTGTCGAGCTGTATATGCCGCGCGAGGACGCGCCGAAGAGTCTGATGTTGACGGCGGAGGCTAGTGCGAAGAGGAATGCTATGACGGAGTGATGCGGACGGGAGGGGACGGGAAGGGAAGGGAGGGGAGGGTGATGAAAAGGGGTTGGTGTAGTACGCACGCTGTTCATGTTTCACGGGTGTTTATGACTTAAGGGGAAGAGGTGTATGAGAAATGACTTTTGATATATGGACACGGTTGGCTTATTGGTTTCGAGTTAGACGTTTCTATGCATGTGTGTATTTGGGTCTTGGCAATATCTCCTTTCTATTTAGACACGACGTAACAGAATTACATTCAAATTTCGATCTATTTGTCGTTTTGCTTAGGTGCTGAATGGTAGGTATCTTATACTGACCTTTTCCACAACCTCGACGCCCATAGAAGAACCTTTCTAATAGTAATAACTACAGTTGCTACCCGTCCTTTTGCAGCTCGATATTCTTCGAACTGACCTTCCAAACGTGTCACTCGTTCCTGGCTTTCTTTCATCCTCTCGGCTAAGCCAGAAAGTCTGCCCTCAAATGCCGCGTCGCCTATAGAAGCAATCATTGGGTTAGTATCAAGTCACTTTTCATACGCGTTTTCACTCACTTTCTCGCTTGGCTTCAACCAGCTCGTTCAGCTCTTGTCGCAATCTGATTATTTCTCTGCCAAAAGGAGCACCAGCAATTTGTTTGTTGAAGATTTTTTGGACGACTCTCTTGGCTGATTCGACCGTGTCGTCGTGTCTCATAACCGTTGCGCCGTCTGCTATCATACCTTTCCAGAAGTCAGATGTCTCATGGAGATGGGGTTCTCGAGCATCACATCTAGGCTGATCATCATGGAGGCTATCCCATTTGGTCGTCAGCAATGTAACCTTGCTCATGTTTTCTTCTCCCGTAATATTCCTAAGACGCTTAAAGAATTCTACCGAGGATCGTCCTATCGGCGCCTCATTAATGTCGTGCATGTAGATGAGTCCGAATAATGATTTGTTTGGACACGAACACCGTAGCCATTCTTCGACGCGCTTGAGAGCTGATACATCTTCACCGACTGTATCATCGAAGCCCGGCGTGTCAAGCATCAGTATTCTATATCCTTTGATCCCGTGTTCCACGTCCCAGATGAATGAAGGCTCTATGTTATAACGAATGAGTATCATATTCTATACCGCGGGATGAAAAACTGACTAATATCAAGAATGTACTCAAACTCGCTCCCGCAATCCTTCGGGTTTAGCCTTGAGATAAATTTGGATTTGCCACATCCAGTTCTACCCATGACTGCAATGATCATGTCTTCTTGGGCTCTTTCCTGTTGGACCTGGCGGAACTCGGCCAATTCGACGGGGTTCATTTCGAATAATCAATTATGGGGGAATTCGTAATGTACGAACTGTAGAATATATTCGGTCTTACTTTGCGGGATAGAGTTCGCGTAAGCAAGAATTCATCAACAAACTACCAACCGTTGACTTAGACCTGAAATATTCGGATTTAGAACATATGGTGTATTCATGGGACCGCCTGTGTGAGGGAAGGGTTTATCTGTTATTGGTTCCCTTATTGGAAAAGGGGGGCGGGACAAAGGGGATGTTGTATAAGTAAGATTCTTGGATAAGATATATGCCTGCCTGCCTGCCTATGCTTGCAATGCCATGTAAAGCATCATATCGAACAGAATTTCCAAAACAAAACAGTTTGTCTCATTTATATACTAGGGAACTACGTGGTATCAAACTCCCATGCAGATAGTTGCTAGGTAGATAGGATTACAATCAGGACCTGATAACTCATGTGATGGTAATATATAAGCTCTTTGACCCTTTCCTTCAACACGCAAACCTTATAAAATCAAATTGAACCCCTGTTTGGTAGCCAATCAAATGTTTTAAGACCTGCAAGCATGTATGGTGGCGCTGATTCCATGTCAAGAGCCCTTTGTGAAGATGGACATCATCGTACAGGGGATACCACACGTCCACTGATTTTTGTTGGTTTAATACGTATATATATATATATGGGAGGCTCTTTTCTAAGTTGTCCCTAGACAGAAATGGGTAGAGTACCTAAAGTAAAGATTTAGACTTGTGACTTCATTTGATACTTCATCCTAACAAGTTATTCGACGAAAGCAGCGATGGCACAAGATCATAGTCTAGATCCTACTATACCATCGACAAGTTATATGGAGGCTTACGGAATCGAACCCGACGAGTTTGAAATTCTGGAGACCGACCCATTCACGCGTCTTAGAACATTAGGAGGTAAAAATTCGGGGGCCCGGAAGGTCTGTGAAGTTAAGCACAACGATAGTGGAAAGGTCTATGCCCGCAAGGAATTTGAATTCTGGGTACGTGACAATCACGAATTGGCTAAGAAGGTTCAGAAGGAAGCCTCCATCATCAAAGATATTCGGCATCAGCACATTGTTCAACATTGGGGAATTCACCGTATCGAAAAAGAAAAAATGTTTGGTCTTCTAATACGCCCAGTCGCCGACAAAAGCCTTGCGGAGTTTTTCAAACAGGTGGAGGGAGAAAAAGACACGGATAAGAGGCTTGAATACTATAAAGCCATGTGCCAATGGCCTATGTGTCTCTTCCAAGCTTTGGATTATTTACATGAAGCAAAAATCCGCCATAAGGATATAAAGCCTAGCAATATCCTCATCAAGGACAACCGCGTCTATCTTGCTGATTTCGGAATATCAAAAAGTTTTCGCGATGCAGCCACATCTAAAACACAAAGCCAAGATCGTACACGCACTGACCGTTATATGGCTCCCGAGACCGACAATGATGAGCTTCGTGGCAGGGCTACGGACGTCTGGGCGTTGGGCTGTACCGTACTGGAGATTTGCACCGTTGCATCGGGCAATACCATAGAGCAATTGAATAGCCATCTCAATAAAGGTAGCCGGAAAACGTATTTCTACAAATCTCCCTACCACGTGTTGGACTGGATATTTCTTCTCTTGTCATCGCCCGGTGTAGACACCCAAGTTGGGCAACACATTCAGAAGATACTGCAGCTGGCATTCATTATGCTTGATCCCGACGACAAGAAAAGAGTCACCATGAAACAGCTCCTTTCTTTGCTAAACCGTCTAGATTCGGAATACTTCCGTTCTATCGTTTGCTTGGCTTGTGACAAATGCCAAGATGCATCTAAAAAGCAGAATTACGATGCTCAATTCGATTATACCTTCAAGAAGACTAGTAGAGGTGTGTACATACCGTCGAAAAATGGTATTACATCTCAGACAGAGGCGCCCTGGGAGGTATTCAAGCAGAGATGGCTCGAGATTCGTATTAATTAGCAAGATGTGCTATGAGTTGTATTGTGATACTCCGATGGTACATATATGGATTAGTCGTCTCGAGGTATCACCCACATCTTAACTTCTGTATTTATACTGCGATACTTTGCAATATCTCCTTAGTCCTCTGTAGGCAATCTATCGAGTCATTCCATTGATAACTGCTTTCTCCTGCATTTACTAGGCTTTGAGGTTCATCTGGTGACTGTCCAATATCACCAACTAAGCACAGCCTGACGGCTTCTGAGAACCTTTCACCAGCCTCTGACTCGAGAGTAGTAAGTGATTCAGCCTTTAAGAGCTTAGTGCGAACTGCTCTTATAGCCGGGCGTGGCATGAGCTTGTTCAGAGAAAACCCGAGGAACTGGTAAATAGGTTGCCACAATCCAATTTCCATCAAAATTACACCGAGGCTGTACACATCGTGCTTTTCTTCGTATCCATATTCTCCATCTCGGGGAACATCGAACTGAACATCCGGATGCCGGTATAAGTCATGCTCTCTGCGGTTCGTCGGAAGCTCTGTTCTTTCACCTGGGTCTGCCGGGCGAGAATAATCGAAGCCGGAAAGGAAAAGCGGCAGCCAGTCTGAGCAAGATGAAGTCGGGAATAGGATGTTATCGCTCCTTAGGCCTTTATGAAGCCACTTTGCTACATGGAGATATTCCAGGCTTGTCGTCAATCGCCGCGCTGTATCTATCCTAGTACTTAAAGAAGGCTTTAAGGTAGTCTGCAGCCTATCATAAAGAGACTGGGGGGCCAACGTGTTTGTCAAGATAGGCGACTCGAAGACAAGTCCAAATCAGGACAAGGTGGGATCATGAACATAGCCAAGGGCGGCCGGGAGGTGGAGCTTTTCAGTAGTCTCTGGGCTCTTAAGGAGCAACGTGGTGAGGCGCGCAATTCGATTTTCAATAAAGCTACACTCCGATACAGTACTCTCTATACTGTAGCTTTTCCACTCTACCCACACAGTGATATCATTGAATGTCCCGGAAACTCGTTGGTAGTTGTCCTCTTTTGGATTACCTTGAAGCTTTAGCTGTGATGCAATCAGTTTAAGGTCGTCAGGCAATGGCACTCTCAGTTCGGCCTGTGCCGCTACATCGTTTTCAAAAGGCAAATCACCCTTGTTGACCGTTATATTGAGAGCCTTTAATCGAGCCAGTCGCTCTAAAAGTTTCTCGTTCGAGTCTCGCCAAGACCTCCCTAAATCGTGATCTAGACGCAGGCAGTGACACGATCGACTGATATCAGAAAGCTCATCAAATCTTTTATATAGTCGTACAACTTCTAGTTGCGTAGTCTCGTGTCGCTTTTCAAACTGATAGATTTTCTCCAATGCTAAGTTGGACTTCATCGATTCGTTTAGTTCAGAAAACCTAGTCAGCAGTTGTTCAAATTTGTCTGCGTCGAATGCGACCCAACGGAGTCTTGTGGGATATTTTAGAAATGCACTATCAACATATCGAAGACACTTCCGGAGTAGTTTTCCCTTTTTGTTGGGCACCTCTAGCGGCTATGGAAAACCATCAGTTAGTTTAAACGCAACTAAAACTAAAGCTTTGTGGATTTACGTTGAAAAGAAGCAATCTTGCTTGCTCCAAGGTGGAATCCCCTTGATTATCGTCTACAGGACTTAAACACAGGTCGTACCGTTGCTTGATCTGACAGGCCTCAAGTATCAGGGTCCTTATTAGGATCAAAGATTCGACATCGGCCTGCCTTCTTTGATCCAGCCGGGCACCTTGGATTGTCGTCTCATCCGTGAAGCCTGATACGTCCCACCAGTCCAGCAGCTGAAGCTGTTCACGGCGAAAACGATGCCGAAGATATCCATATTCTTGTGGGAAGTCTTTGATTTCTAGTACGAGCTGACAGCCTTTCATACAGCTAGAAAAGACTTGAAAGACTAGAGATACCGCGCCCAACACAGTGCCAGGGTCCATGACTTCTCACTCATTCGCAAACCGCAACCGTACTTTAGTAAATGTAATATGGAATTAATAGGGACTATCATATATCAAAATGATGAGAAGAGCTATGAGTTTCTTCTGGGACATTTGGCCGGGGATGTCAACTTGTAGGTATGTATTTTCTGCCTTGGGGGTGGCGTACATCCTAGGTATGCCAAGATATCAACAGTGTTACCACACGTATATCGCTAGCGAATGGATAGAAAGCTATTGTTTCATTAGGAAGGCTGTGATACTCTATATGCAGTTCAGTTCGCTGCAGCGATTGCCGTAGTTTTCGTAGGTTTCGCAAAAAGTAGGTAGCTAGCAGCGCTAAATTGAAATACTCTGAGAGAAATAAATAATATAGTAGGAAATTGGTATGTAGACGTTATAACTTAGACGTGATGCGCAGATATAATCTTAGGCTAGGGACCCTAGTATTATCCGAGAGCCTGGGAAGTGTTACTATATGGAGTTATTATCTAGATCTTATTTACATTAATATCTATCCGTCTATTAGTTTAGAGTATATATACCTGTCTTATGAGATTGTAATATACCCTATAATGACTTATATTGTTTGGAGGACTGCCGTTCTGTTCATTAGTATCTTCGTATAATATCGTAAACAGGCGTAGTAAAGCCTTCCAATATCAAGGTGATATAATATTAATACAATCCTTAGATGCCGGCTAGTAGAACAGTTAGCAAAACTTAGGTACCTAATCCAATACCTATCTCTCACGAGGAAATTATTGATCTAGTCGTTGCTTGTATCAAAGTATATTTATCGCCAGGACGATTATTGTACCAGTTTGTCACATTCATGCTGCAGAGACATATGTATTCTAAAAAGCGGGCTGTCTAGCACCACACCAACGGCTCAGTGGTAACATGCGATGAATTCAAAGAAAAGTAAGTATGCAAACCCCCAAGGTTCAACCCCAGGCGTGAGAAAAATTCGACATTCATGTAGGGATGATTAAAAAGGACGCGGTCTGACCAAGGATTCAACGAATTCAACAACAACTTCCTGATGTTAAAATCATATGCCATGATCTGACTTACTTACAATTCAACATATGATTTCACCTTCACTGACTAAAGAATGTGCTAACAAGTCATCTATAGGATCCTCACATTTTTTTTCTTAGTCCTCCCTGCTATAGCCCCTTTCTTATCCGGGTCTTTCCTATCCTTCTTTTCTGAGGAGTTTTCAAAATCTTCTTTCTAGGAATGATGTACATGCTTTTGCGTTTCTGTTGCATCTTGCTCCTAGCGAACATCAAAAAGAAACTCAAGTAAATTTGCTCCAAATGTAGGGGGTTTTGTGAAGGCAAAGGGTATCACGTGCTTTCTACTGCATATTGCATAAGAGATAAGTACATATTCACTTACTAAGCATATCATGGAATCTTCTCAAAGATGCTCGCATCCAGCACCGCCTTCTTCATTACTTCAACGATAACCTTTCACAGCCACACTCCATTTTTGCATATTCTTTCGTATCTATTTGTTGACTAAGATATTTGCCCGTCTATTACTGACAGCTCCTCTTTCCCCCCAAAAAATAAGTCCACATTTATTTAGCAACATTTGTCAAAGCTGCCACAAACAGCCCAAAACGAAGCCAACGAGATCTCATAACTACACATAAAAGATAAAATGGGCGGCGAAAACCTACACCACATCAACTCTCTCGCCGAGCTGCAGTCGCTATTCGCGTCAACCACATACGTAGCCGTCGACTTCTACGCGGACTGGTGCGGGCCGTGCAAGGTCATCGCGCCGCACTACGAATCGCTTGCCAAGCAGCACGGCGTCCCGGGCTTCCTTGCTTTCGCCAAGGTGAACGTGGACACCGCGCAGGATGCCGCGCGCGCGTTCGGTGTTACCGCCATGCCCACCTTCCTCTTCTTCAAGGAGGGCCGCCAAGTCGCTGTAAACGGACAGGCTGCGATTCGTGGCGCCGACGCCCGCTCTCTCGCTGCGGCTGCCGAGAAGCTGGGCGGCTTAGCGAAGAAGCGCATGGCGGAGTCTTGAAGACTGGAGTGGATTCGGGATGAGACGGCATCGTAGGAAGGATAGGATTGGGTGGTGATAAGGTATTTACCCGGCCGGATGGACTGGCCAGGCGAGGGTGTTGACTGATGCTTCAACCAGATACGGGCGTTACAGGGTTATAATTCAATAAAGAGCGCATCGCGTTGATCATAAGTATTTTGCCTATTGTGTAATGTGATGGTAGACCTGCCCTGATTAAGAATGTGACTATCCCCTTAAATATCACCTAGTTTCCCTTCCATATCTAGCCCATCTCCCCAGAAAAGGTGTCTATCAAATACTAGTAAAGAAGATATATCCAAAATAAAGTCTATCAAGAATGGACAGCATATCAATCTCCCTTAGTGGAACATACAAGTACCCTTTATCAAAGGAAGAGGTAATTATTAATAGTCAATAATTCACACTGATCCTCCCAAAACACGCTTTTAATGTATCGGTGGTAAGCTTTATAGTCATACCAACGTGAGAATATAGGGGCTGAACTATCTGAGAGAAAAAAGTTAGCCTAGGCGGGATTTGAACCCACGTCTTTCCAACCTCGACATCTCGTCTGGTATTTTATCAGAAGCGCGTAATGATGGAATGTGCTCCCACTGCACCACCAGGCTTTTTGTGATAGGAAATTTGAAGTTTAAGGTCATATGCCACCATCCAGGCTGCCGCAGATACCATACATATGACTCGTCCAGTTAGGCATCCAGGTCCTGGTTTCTTACGCTGCCTCTGTGAGTCTATTTTAGGTACCTTATTTAAACCACTTTCCGTATACTTAAACCCCTACATACCTATAATTTAGGTACCTATCCTAGTTCTTGGTGTTAACTTATAGCCAAGTCGTCCTATTAGACTCTATCTCGTACAGTTCGTCTTAGAAGAGTCACGACGGTACTTCATCTTTCACCGCTCTTCATATAATATGAGTTATTTTGCCATTAGAACAGTTTATATGCCTAGGTGGGTACCTAGATACTATTATTTTTTCTTATTCCCGAAGCTCAACCCCGCCGAGGACCTTCACGAGACGTAGTACTAGTAGCCCTATTTACAGATGTTGCGATATTAACTTAACATCACCGAGAAAAAGTTGTATGCTAAACTACCTACGCATCTTTCGAATCCGATCCTATTTCTCCCCATTGCTTAAAAGTGTTCAAGAACTAGCTTCCCTCCACTTGATTAATAGGGTAGTACAAATTACCCCCTTGCAGCAAGCCGTTTTAGATGCGAAGGGTCTATATACTCTACTTAGGTATCTGATAATATTAAAACGGTATCTCCAAAAGATATCAAAATGATCTTATAGACATCGCTGTTGGGTACTTATTAATAAGATAAGCCTGTTCTGGATATAGTAAACCTTGACAGCCCCACAAGAGAAAAGTTGGAGATGATGATGACGGCACCGATTCTTGGATGACAGGTAGTCAAAGCGAAATTGAGGCTCTTAATTGGGCTTTACCCACGAACTTAATAGATACCTGATATAATTAATTGCCAACGCCGCACCCACGCCGCACCCACGCCGTATGGCTAGCTCTAACATGGGGATTCAACTAATGGTGCGTTGCATTATATGTATATCAATGATAGTGGGTCTTAAGGCTGTAAGGGTGGCATGCAACGATGCCACGTGCCGAGGTGAAGTAGACCGATCGATCCGGGGAATAAAATAAGAACCAACAGCCCTTTTTTTTTTGGGATCGTGCATCCTTGACCTTGTTTTAAGCCGCACCAACTAGTCAAAACTATTAGGTAATAGGTAACTTTAACAGATAAGCTTTATCAGATCTCATGTATGTATGTATGAAAGCTAGCGTGACGTGGCGTTGTGATATAACTACGCCCCCGTACTAATGCTGGTCGTACATTTCGACAAATGATATTTAAGGAGTGTTAGTTATAATGCCCATAATAGCTAGTACACTGATCTTGGCCAAGGTCTTTACGAAATATAGACATGGGTGATAGTTTCTCTCATCTATAACTATCCGGTACGGGTAGGTATCGTTGTGAGATTCTTAAGTCTTTAGTGTTGTTAATCTTATATATTTAGGCGGCGACAGAACTCCTGTCTAATGAAAAGGCACTGTGTGACTTTGCTAATGAACTACTTCAACAACCTATTTGATTAACTAACTTTGGATTGTTACTTTATTTATTCGGGAATTGTCTCCTCAAATTCAGCCTCCGAGGGAGATGGTGTATATTTCAAGGCTTACTTTTCTAGGGGGAGTGTGACCGAGGAAGTGTAGGCCTTGCTAACTCCTGGATAGGAGGGCAGAATTATTATTCGAATTGAAATAACTAGAAGCGATAAATATCTGATATAATGCTATTCAAGGTGATAGTTACATGTAAGTATACACATGTACAAGCCGGTTAGTTGCACGCTTAGAGAGGTCCTCATGCATCTATATAACCTTTTATATATTGGAGTTTATCGGTCCGGGCTTTGCACTTTATCGAAAGTAATTAATATAAATATTTGGGCACGACTGTCTCATATCGGGAAATATTCACCACTAGGAGATTTTAACAACTATGACTTTTATTACTCCATATCCACACAAAGATAAAATAGTCTCACTTAAGAACACCGTATTGAATCACCGGACCAGCACGTTGGCTCATATTCGTCCCAGCGTTTGTTTATGCTTCGTCGTACTAAATAACAAATCCCGACGTTGCTACACGGCCGATGCGTAAGCCATGCATGAATAACTGTTCCATTGGCACTTAATAATCAACATATTCATGCGCTGCTCAGGGTTCAACCTTGATAATTCTTCCTTACGGCCGCAGGTTGGTCACGCCCCATTCTTGGTGCTACTCGGAGGCTTGGCCAGCAAGTAATTTTATATAAGTCGACGTCAGACCAACGACTGTTTCTAAACTGGACTTTTAGGCTTTAAGCTTTAATACGAGGTAGCTCACCTGACGACTAGTAACAACTTTATCAACGCTCCGGGAACCCCCTTTATGCTTTTAGGTTGTGGCACTTAACATTTATATCTTTCATGTCACGTTTCATAAATCACAATCGAAACGTCAATGCTTCATTTCGGTTCGCTCAGCAACCAATCGAATTGATTAACGAGGGAAATCCCATCCACCAATTTGATCGCGAGGTCAAGTGTCTAACCGGAGTACAAAGGAATGCTAAGAACCATCCGCCTCATACCCCGAAGACAAAATGATATTACACTATGCGAGCCACACATGCAGTCTAATTAAAAAGCTTTAAAGATCAACCCCACCCAGGTCTCCCTTTTTATGTATTCCGACACCCATAGCCGCCCCCATCCCCGGTCATCAAGGAGGCAACAGCCCTGTCGTAAGACATTTCGTGGTATAAAAGTGAACGAAGGAAAAGTAAATGTTGGAGTCTTATTCCGATGGGGTTAGGCGGCATTGTACACCATTGTTGAGCGTCAATGATAACGTCAGCTGCTCTCTCCAGTCGGTCGGATCTAGATTCTCGATCCTGGAGAATGCGTGAAGTAGGCGCGCGATCGTGTATGATGACTCGGTCAAGGCGAATTTCTGGCCCGGACAGATCCTAGGACCTCCATTGAAGGGTAGGAATTCCCAGCCGGGACGAAGATTCTCCCATCTCTCGGGTCGGAACTCTTCGGCATCTTCACCGAAGAATTCCTCCCGCCTGTGCATCACAAAGGTGCTATAGGTGACGACGTTGTGCTTGGCAACGAAAAGGGGCGATTTTCCATCAGGGCCACCACCGACAGGAAGAACAGTGTCCTTGTTAGCCATGCGGCTGTTCGTGGCGATGGGCGGGAAAAGACGGAGAGCTGAAGCAACAATGTTAGCCACGCAAAAACATATGGATTGATCAACGCTTACTCTCATGTATCACATATCGAAGATACTTCATGTCCATGAGGGCTTCGTACGTCAAAGGTTCGCAGTAGTGTTCCAAAACGTCAGCCCGGAGCTTATCCCACACGTCAGGCCTTCGGGCTAACATGAAGAAGACGAAAGCGAGTAAGCCAGCAGTGGTATCACGGGCGGCTAAGAGCATATTCACGATCTGGTCCCGGAGCATGATTGGATCCTCGGTATCCTTGGCGAGCTCGTTCAAGAAGACATATTTTTGGCGAACTCCTTCATCCTTGTCCCTTTTCTCAGACGGAAGCATGGATTGCTGACGTCGGTATTCAAGAGCTTGCGCAACGAACTTGTCAGCATACGCGTGGACAGTACTGCAAGAGTCCCGGAACTTCTTGTCCCTGTGGGCGAACATGAGATTTCCGAGGCGTAGACGTAAGATAGTACCCTGCTGAGCGTAATCAAGCGCGTGGTGAAACGTGGTGGCAGCTTCAGATGCATTTTCTGACATCAGACCAACGGACTCTCCGAACATGTATTCACTGTTGGAGTCGAGTACCTGTCAAGCGGCGTTAGTTACCGAATATTGGGAAAGGAGAGGGAGTATGGCGAGTCCACGTACCATGCGGAAGAATAGCTGCTGGAGGTCTACCTCGTAGTTACGGCGTGCAATAAGAGCGATGAGCTGATCTACATGGTGGCCGAAGATGCTGAAGTCCGTAACTTGGGCTCGAACGAAGCTTGGCCGGATCAGAGCACGCTGGTGAGCCCAGATCTCGTCATCCGTGGTGAAGATACCTCGCCCCAAGAGTGGAGAAGCACTCTTCCGTCGTAACGGTCCCATGCCGAAGTCCTGGAACTGGAACGACAGAACATTCTGGATGAGTGTTGGGTCGCACGTGTTGATGGTGGTCCGCAAGTAGGTGTTCGTGGTAAAGGTGAGGCCATTGGCGGCATGTCGAGTCCTGAGGAGGTCGAGGAAGCCGTACTTCTTTGCCGCCCCGAGGTTCTGCATGACGACGTCAGTCCCCATGATGGGGTCCAGCTGAGGCAGCTTCTTGGGAGGCAGACAGCCGTTCTGTCTCTTCATATGACTTCGACGTCGACATGTTAAAAGCCACTGGACTATCGAGAACAGAGAGAAGACGACGAGGCCGGAGGCAGCTAGGAGCAACGAGAAAGCCATGACGAACTGTCGAAGAGATGGGAATACAGATACTATCTGTTGCATGTCACACTGCAGTCTGCAGGAGGAGAAAGATGGGGAGCGGAGCAGGCAGAGGGCTTACTTATACTCTCGGGGGCGTCTGGCCAGTGCTGCTGGTTGGACCCAGACCGTGACAAATGAGGGAGGACATGCTCGTCTATCCAAAGCCCGATGATGCCCAGCGTCGAGGCTTTTCAAACGAGTACTTCTTGGGGCGGCAAGGGGATCCATAAGCCATCTTGGCCACCGATACGCACGCATATTCAATCGTCCACGGGTTTTGTTAGCCAGATTATCAACTCGGTAGAAACTTTTCTCTTTAACCAATCAGGCAATTGTCCATAAAGGGTGCATCCAATCAGCTTGCCCCGCAACAACCTCGTCACTGACATGGCATGCCCAATGGAATGCTTGTCACAAGGGATAAATGCACAGGCGGTACAAGTGTATGTTCTGGGAAAGTACCGTTGCCGGCCGGAGGAGGGAAGGTCTCACGGCTGATGGGGAAAGAAAAGAAGAAGTGTCATAGCTTTCCTGGACGATAACGGGGCCGATATTGCTAGCCTTGAGAGGTAGCGAGCGCGCCCAGGACGCCAGCAAGTCTGTGAGTATAAATTTCATTATACGAGTCACTACATACTATTAGTACGTCATGTTCATGTGCTCTTTCTCGCTGCTTATGTGTCTACGTAAGACTGGCGGGCGTCCTATTTCCTGGTTATTGGGGTGATAGATGGGTCTTCTTGCATTTGCAGTTATCGCCAGTTGGGCTGAGCGTTGATCTACCTAGGAACGAAGTCGGCGACCTGTGTCCGGCTCAGCCCCGGACCCTGTGTTCACCCCGTCGTCAGTTTTTTTTGTCTCAATCCTTCGCAGGATAAAAGGCTCAACGTCAGCAGGGTTTAAATCATATCGGTTTCACCATTATTCTGTTCTAGACAAGGGGAATAATCCTCCATATATGCGAGCTGTGCCGTGAAGCTAGTAGTAGCTTTCCTAATGGGAACATGGCGTAGTAAGAAGTGTTTTCGTGCTCTTACGAAGCTCTCTATCGACCTTCACGACATATGATAAGGCGGCTGAAGCTCGAAATGTCCGAGACCACGTGGCTTTCTGCTCTAAAAAAAAAAAAAAAAAGGAGATCTCGTTGGGATATACATACATAGACCTTCAGCGATACCGTCCACTTGGCACGATACTCTCACTCCCGTACTAAAGATAACGAAGACAAGGGATATACCGTGCGAGGCTAAGCTAGTTAAGGCTTAGAAACGCCACGGTCTGGGGGGGGGTGTTACCGAGAGCTTGGAGAGACAGACCAAGGTGAAGCTAGTGCGCCCATTGAAGAGTCAGCGGCAATTCAACGGTAATAGGCGGTGTTCCCGGATGCGAGTCAGCAAAGGGGGGGCGCGGAAAATGGAAAATGGAAAATGGAAAAAGGAAAATAAAAGATTGGGAAGAAAATTACCTACCTACCTCCTATTGATCTGGATTTCTTCATGGGCTGGTTCCAATCGAGAGGTCAAGATCAGCGAATGGCTGGAGAATCCACTGAAGGAAGCGGTATGTTACATTGAAGTGCTCACCATTCCGCTGTTACAGCCCGAACTCTCTCGTCGACGTTAACTTCCCTGGCCTCTAAAGTAGGTACAGTTGTCAAGTTGGAGGGGGTGAACGGTGGAGTTGACAAGGATATATAAAGCCCACGCAGGGGACTTCAGGGTTCTGACAGGGCCTTCGGCTGAACCTGCAGCTTTTCCCCATTCTTAGCTTAATATCCTATAGGGTGTTCCAGGGGGCGGCATGGGACTGCCGGAATTCCTACTACTACACTAATGATGCTACTTTTGCTTCGTAACCGCTTCGTAACTTTTATGCCACACTTTACTTCCGCCACTTGTTAGGCGGATTTCCCTAGTCACCCTTGCTTCTTTGACAGATTGGGTTCTTTAGCGATAATAGAGTTGCAGAGGGCGGCAAGGGTTTCATGATATGCTGATGTGCTGGTACCTTTGGTCTAGATATGAGGCCATCGCCGTAATAGGAAAGCTTCTAGCGAGTTCATTGGAACACACGAAGAAGCAAATGAGAGTGGATCGACCATGAAAGCGACCCGATTCCGAAGCCATGGGAAATAAATATAGTTTCCGGTGTGGATTTTTTTAACCCAACAGTATCGCGACTGGGCTTAAGGGCGTCCAATTACGCAAACTAAAATAAGACAAGTCTCATTCCAGTGAGATGGTTGTTGGGTCTCTTGGGACGCCACCATCTCTCCCGAAAGCCTGGCTGAAAAGACTTAAGGACTATCCACTTCGAACCGGTAGAATAGGAACTTGTGCGTACATATACAACGTGGCTGTGACTTACATATGGTCATAAATACCGTTGATAACATTCGAGTGTCCCAACCGCATCCTGAATCCTGAATAAAAGAATTCTCCACGAGCATCTACCCATACATCCTATACAGACTATACAGCCCGTACAGTCCATACAGTCCATACAGCCATACCCCCTGTACCCATCACAACTTATCCACTGTATTACGAAGACCCAAACTTTTTCTTTTCACGATGACTACAATCAAGAATGTCGCCGTTGTAGGGGTCTGTTAAATCCACTATTGCCATTTGCCCGAAATAGGTGCTGACTTATTTGATTAGGCAACTGGGAAGATCGGCCGCCCAATCGTGGATCGTCTTCTGTCTTCGAAACTCTTCAGCGTGACTGTTCTCACGCGTGACGGGGGTCGACGGCGCGAACTCCCTGCAGACGTCACCGTCAAGGAGGTAGACTACGATTCTATCGAGTCGTTGGAGTCTGCCCTTCAGGGACAGGATGCGCTCGTTTCCGCAATGGCCTTCGAAGCCATCCACGTGCAGAAGAATCTTGTCGATGCGGCGGCTAAGGCCGGCGTAAAGAGAATGATTCCTTCTGAGTACGGCAACGATCTTTTGAATCCTAAGCTAGCTGATTTCCCCATCTACAAGCCCAAAATTGCTATTCGTCAACGTTGCGAGCAAAAGGTGGTCGAGAACCCGCCATTTTCGTGGACTACAATTCAAAATGCTTCATTCCTTGGCCCAGACTGGACCCTGGACTTCATCGTGGACGTAAAGCAGCGTAAGGCTGATATCAAGGATGGCGGTGACGTACTGTTCTGTGCTACGACCTACGACGACATTGCCCAAGCCGTAATTGGCATCTTGACCCACCTGGAAGAGACGGCTAACCGTCCCGTGAGAATCTCTAGCGTCAACACGACCCAGAACGAATTAATTGCCGTAGCCAAAGAGCTGGGCGCTAGCGATGGCTGGGATATTACTTATTCTAGAACCGAGGACCTGGAGACCAAAGCCCTACAGCGTTGGGCAGAAGGTGATCATAGCGAGGAGGTGATCGCTATGTTCATCAATAGGGCGTTCATTGGCAAAGGTTGGGGCGGATACTTCCCGGTCCGGGATAACGATTTGTTGGGTATCAAGGGCCTAGAAAGAGATGAGCTGAAAGCCATCATCAAGCTTGCTATGGATAGATGATGATGATCTGTGTACTGACTAAAATCAAATGAAGACTGACCGACTGATGGGTATCACTCTGTATATTCTGTACTAATATCGGTACTAATATGTAGATCCCCTTCCCGATACTATGGCACCGGGTCAATTCCCCCCCCACACGACACATATTTGAATGTCGGCATTGCCCTCTGTTAAAATCCTGTAAACTATACACTACTTCCTTAACCTCCCTTAGACATTTCCCAAGACCACAATGAAACCCTAAGTATTGCTCGTCGGAGCGCCTTTGCCTTTGCTCTTCTTACCAGCTAGAGCTTCGGATCTGAGAATAAACCATCCCCTACGAACCTTTTTTCCATTCGGGGTTTCTGTATACACAACAGATATATATACAACACCATATAACTCCAGAACAAACCGAATTCCGAGTGCTTCAGCTTTTTGTATTCCGTTTTTATTACGTCCTCCTGCATTATCCCGTTTGCGCCAGCCCAAGAGGGAGTTCGTCAGGATGTATTAAGTGTCGCGTCCCTTATTCTATATCTCATCTTTTTTTACGTACGACTGTGGCCGGTGTAGCTTGACCTTCGAGGGCCTCTGGCGAAAGAGTAGTTTCCGTGGATCTGGTTCTCTTCGTCGCCAATGACTGGACGTCGGTTGTCCGCCTGGTCTCTCTCGTCACGCACTTCACTAACAACCTCGACCTCGACGTGTTTGTGGATATTGTGACTGTGATTATTACTAATCGGAGAGCTGCCATTAGTGCTCGTGTCGGTCCAACCCTTTAGATCTTGCATCTTCACATCATCCACTATTCGTTCCTCGCTCTCGTTAAATGTAAAGTTCGTGATCGGGTTCGCCGTAGGGGGCCCGCGTCGTCGCCAGCTTTGATGACTTCCACCGCCAAACGTACGAAGGTCGGTTTTCGAGTCCTTGTCGGTCAATTTTTGCTGCGAACGCACCGTCGTGATGAGGGAGCCGAGGATCGGTGAAAGCCACATCTTGATGAGAGGGAAGATCATCGGTAGGTTGGTCGTGACCACGGCGACAAATGTCTCCCGAACAGCCCACGATCCAGCGAGCTGAGCTCCATTGACCGGATCCTACGCATATTTGTGAGTCCATGTACTCACGAATGAGATATCAGCTAAATGACTTACAGTTACGATGAGAGCACAACGCAGAATAGCACATGCAACGACAAATAAACCGCCGCTGAAAAGAATGATTAAGCCAAATTTCTTCGCAGGCTTCAAACTCGATTGCCAGAGCATGGGAACAGGAATGGAAATCAGATAAAGATCTGTTAACACATTCATCGAGAGATACACCCAGATAACTTCATTAGATACGGCGGGTTGGCAGGTATCTGGAGAGCAGGTCAGGTCAGGTCAGTATCGCTTCATATTGTTGGAATTTAGAAAGATGCAACATACTTCCTGGGTCGGGATATAT